GAGAAAAGAGAGAAAAAAAGAGAAGGAGAAACATACAACGGGGAAAAATTGATATAGGGAGAAATGGGAGATAAACATTAACGTACAGATTATGATAAATTTGACTTCGAAGAGCAAAAGAGAATAGAGAAAAGAAGACAGGTAAAACGATAGAAAGAGAGAAAAAAATCGCTTCAGTTAAAGAACAGCAACCTGAACAAAACAAATCTAATTAAGACTTTTTAACGTGTAGTTTAAACCGAAATAAATCCGTAAAAAGTTGTATATATAAACGTTTTTTTTTCGTTTTAACATCAGGCTCATTATAATTCCCATTAAAGTCATCATTATCGTTATAATTGTTATCTTTTTATTGTTATCATCATCCTCATCATTATTATTTCCATTACTATTATTACAATTATTCTTTTTTACGTTTTACTATCATTATTGCGATTGATATTATTATCATTAGTATCATTGTTATTCATATCAATATAATTATCATCATTATTGTTATTATCATTATTATATCGTCATCATTGTTATCATTATCAGTACTATTGTACTGATAATTGTTATTGTCATCATTATCTTTTCTTACCATTACTTGTATCATTCTCGTTATTGTTATCATTTATCATTATCATCACGATCACCATAATCATTAATATTGCTACAATCATAATTAGTATTATTATTACTATCTTTAATTGTTGTAATTGTTTTTATCTTCCTTATCAACATAATCACTATTGTCATTATCATTGTTATTATTACTACTAGTGTTATATTTATTGTTATTATTACTGTTACCATAATCATAATCATCATAATCATTACCATTATTGACGTTGTTATCATTATTGTCATCATAATTCTTTTGTTGTTATGATCAACATTATCATCTTTATTATCATCACTATTATCTTTATTGTTATCATCTTTATCACAATTTTTAGTAGTATTAGTAGCAGTGTCATCATTACCATTGTTATCATCATTATAATTGTTATTATTATTATTATTATTACTATTGTTGTTGTTGTTGTTGTTGTTATTATAATGATTATCATTATCATTATCATCATCATCATTTTTATTATTGTTATTGTTATTATTATTATTATCATTATTATTGTTATTATTATTATTATCATTATTATCATTATCATTATCATTACTTTTATTATCATCATTATTACCTACATTATTATCATCATTATTACCTACATTATTATCATTATTACCATTATTATCATAGTCATTATTGTTATTATTATTATTATCATTATTATTATTATTAGCATTATCATTAATATCACTATCATTATTAATATTGTTATTGATTTTTATCATTATTGTCGTTATTGTTACTGTAATTATTACTATCATTACTATGATTATTATCCTTACTACTACTGTTATTGTTGTTGTTACTTTTATTACAATCACCATTAGTTTTATTATTATTATTACTAGTAGCAGTAGTAGTAGTATCATTACCTTTATCATTACATCATTATCAATATTATCATTGTTATCTTTATTATTACTATTACTATCATAACTATCATTATCATTAGTATTATCATTACATCATTACTATTATTGTTATCATTTTCATGAATATCATTATCAATGTTGATGTTAGTTTCATTTTTATTATCATTACTCCAATCACCTTTATCTTTATCTTTATCATTATAATAGCTGATATTATCATTTTCCTGGTTAATCATTACTATTATCATTATCATTGTTTTTTTCATTAATATTGATTATCGCTGTTATCATCAATATTATTAGTAGTATTGTTATCAATATTGTCATTATAATTATCTTTATCACTGTTGTTTTTATTGTTATTATCATTATCATTATTATTATCATCATTATTATTATCATCCTCATTATCATTATTCTCAACATCGTTATTAGTAGTATTATCATTATCATTGTCATCATTATTTTGATGCTATTATGATGAATAATCATTATGATTATCTCAGTTATTTTTATTATTGTTACAATCATTATGATAGTTTTTACTTTTAATGTTATTTTCGTTATTATCATCATCGTTATAACTATTGTCATTTTTATTGTTATATTTATTACTATTATCATTGTTATTCTATCACCATTATCATCATTATCTTTTATCATAATTATTATCACCATTATTGTTATCCTTATTATCATCATGATCATCATCATCTTTACTATCTATGTTGTTATCGTTCTTACTATCATTATTACCTTATCATCATCATTGTTATCATTATTACTATCATTATCATCATCATTATTGTTAATATTATTATCATAATTATCATAATTTTCATTATCACTATTTTCACCATTACTATCATTATCATTAACCTTTTCATCATCCTGACGATCAAAACTATTCTATTCATCATTATATTCATCATCATCTCCATTATCATAAGTAGACCCCTTTAATAAGAACTACCTACAAAGCAATATATAATTTATGATGATTCAAACGGAAACACACACAAAAACCTGTCCCTTAGAATCACACACACACACACACACACACTCACTCACTCACTCACTCACTCACACACACACTCACACACACACACACACACACACACACACACACACACACACACACACACACACTCACTCACTCACTCACTCACTCACACACACTCACACACACACACTCATTCACTCACTCACTCACACACACACTCACTCACTCACTCACACACCTAACAAACACACACACTCAAAGAAACATCCATACACACAAACATATAGTTGGTACTAGTGCACTCGTGTGTCTGTGTTTGTTTTCTTTGCTTGTGTTTGTGTGCGTGTGTGTGTGCGTGCATATTTGTTTAGGTGTGTGTTTGTGTTTGTGTGTGCGTGTGAGGGGTGAGGGAGTTTAACATTCCGAAGAATTCACATTAAATGGTACTTAGGATAGTTTCTGTTCGAGAGAAGATCGTTTTCTACATCTTTCTTCTCATATGCGCTTTGATTTTCAAGGAGAAACTAAAGTTAACACATACACGAGAGAGGAGACGTTTCAGACATAGAAACAAGGGGTTTGTCACACCATATGTATTTTTATACGTGTGTGTGTGTGTGTGTGTGTGTGTGTGTGTGTGTGTGTGTGTGTGTGTGTGTGTGTGTGTGTGTGTGTGTGTGTGTGTGTGTGTGTGTGTGTGTGTGGGTAGGTGTGTGTGGGTGTGTGTATGTGTGTGAGTATTTGTGTGTGGGTGAACGTATATATAAAAATGGGTGGGAAAATATTACTATTAATATAATTTTGTAGCCCTTGCTTCCATATCATTCTCGTTTGGAATTCTTTGTCAGTTTTGTTTTATTGACTTTATTGGTGATATGTTATATATCTCTTGTCACCAATATTATTTCAGTGATTATAAAGATAATCATGATGGTCATAATAAGGTAGTAATAATAATAATAATAATTGTAATAATGATAATGATAATAACAATGATGATAATAATAATAATAATAATAATAATAATAATAATGATAATAATAATAATAATGATAATGATGATAGTAATAATAACAGTTAAGATATAAATAATGATAATGATAAAACAGTAATAATGATAATAATAACATTAAGAATAAGCAGAAGAAGAAGAATGATAATGTTATTAGTAATAATGATAATAATGATAATACTAATGATTATGGTAGCAATAATAATCATAGAAACAATAATGATAATGATAATAATAGCAATAACAGAAATAATGATAAAAATGGCAAGATGGAGAAAAAAGAAGAATGATAATGATAATAATAATCATCATGATAATAATAATAATAATAGCAATCATTATAACAATGATAATGATAATAACAATGATAACAGTAATGCTGATAATAACGGTAATGGTAATAATGATAATAATGTTACGATAAAAAAGAATGACATAATCATTATCAGTATCATTAATGATGGTAATAACAATAATGATAACAATGATAATAATAATCATAATCATAACAATTATAATGAAAACAACAAAACTAATAATGATAATGATTATAGTAATAGTGATAATGATAATGATAATCGTATTGATATCAATTACAACAATATAAGGATGATAATGATAATGGTAGTGATGATAATGAGTATAATTATGATAATGATAATAATGATAATAATAATAATAATAATAATAATAATAATAATAATAATAATAATAATAATAATAATAATAATAATAATAATTACAATAATAATGATAACAATGATGATGATAGTAATGACAATGATGAATAGCAAAATTGCTGACTATAATAAGTAACAATAATAATCTATATAGAACAGCAGCATTATATACATTTTTAATTCACAACAGAAATAACAATAGTATCAGTAATTACTAAGTGGAAATAACAATAGTAGTAGAAATAGTTATAGCAATAATGAATAAGTATCAGTAACAATCCTAACAATAAAAAAATGTATCATTAAAACATTAACATTAGTATGGAATTTGGTAATTACAATAGTAGTATTATCATAATTATTTTGCCGGTAATCAAAATATCATTTTCAAGAAAAGAGAAACATATTATCATAACTTTAATATACGCATGTCATTTAGTAGTTGCAATAACATTACTATCACCTTTTGCTTTTAATCATACTTCTTATCATAACAAATATATTGCTACCATTCTAAGTGTGATGTAATACTATTACATTCAATGTCAATGACATATGTTATGAAGTCCTATTAAAAAAAGACAGGAGTCACTATCATTCTTACCAAGATTTAAGACTGGCTAAGGGTTGACTTTACTGGTACAGGATGTTAACGAGATAACACTTGGTGCGTGGATTTCCATGTTATAAAGAATACATCTAAAGTTGCCACATGAGAATATTTTCAGGATCTGCTTAAATCAAACTAATTGGCAATAGGTGTTCCGAATGAGGTGTACATTGTGGAAATATATGAATTAATTTTATAAAGACTACTGCTCTTATAAAATTCGTTTTTGAACATTTAATGGAGTTTAT